GGCTGGGGATGTGGCTCAAGCGGTAGCGCGCTCACCTGGCATGCTTATGGCCCGGGTTCCATTCTCAGCACCACATACAAACAAAGATGTTGTGTCGGCCGAAAACTAAAAAAAAAAATAAATAAATAAAAATTCTCTCTCTCTCTCTCTTTAAAAAAAAAAAAAGATTAAAAAAAAATGTTAAGCCATGTAGATCATTAACCTACTATCTGCCTTTGTATTATGCTTGTCAAAATCCTGTTATCTGTAAGTTCTCAAGAAGCTTCCTTTTGCAACTTTTTGTGCTATAAAACCTTTTCCTTGAGAGCTGGGGGGCTGTTCTCTGGCCCAGGATTTCAGGTGAGATAGTCGCTGGCCAGCTTTTGTGTACACAATACAAGCTTGCTTTATTTGATTTAAAATTGGAGTCGGTGGTCTTTTCTTTGAGTCGTGGTTCAACAGTAAGATGTAAGCCCTGCCTGTCTCACAGTATGCTGTGAAAGTGCTTGAAACAACAGTTCATAGAGATATAAAAGATACTGGGCTGACTCTGAACCCTGGCAGAACTGTTGAACCAGATTGGAGCTCCCAGACTGTACCTAAGCCCCATCAGCCTACAGCCCACTTCCCAACATGCTTCCAGATAAAGTTCTCTGTTGGGAAATACATGGGGAATTTCAAGTCAGCAGGAAACTTCAAAAAGAGGTGACTGTAACCATGTGTGGTGGCGCCTGCCTGTAATCCCAACGATTTGAGAGGCTGAGGCAGGATGATCGCGAGTTCAAAGCCAGCTTCAGCAAAAGCGATGTGCTGAGCAACTCAGTGAGACCCTGTCTCTAAATGAAATACAAAATAGGGATAGAGATGTAACCAGTGGGGTTGAGTGCCCCTGAGTTCAATCCCTAGTACCAAAAAAAAAAAGAGGTGACTGTTGAACCTGTGACACAAAGAAAAGATCACTGACTACAATTGAAACCAAATTAAAGCAAACCTATATCATGTACAGGAGAGAGCTGACCAGCAACTGCCTCACTGGAAAGCTGGGATGGGGAACTGCAAAGGTTCGCAGAGCAGGAAAGTTTTTATAGCACAAAAAGTTACAAAGGAGGGTGTCTTGGGAACTTACAGCTAACAGGGTTCTTCTGGCAAGCATCATATAAAGGCAGACAGCAGGTTAATGATCAACATGGCTTAACGTTTCAAGGTAGGGAGTAAATTGAGATTCCAACATCAGAATTTATGAGAAGCTGCTGAGGTTTCAGAGAGGGTTGTTATATGGTCAAGGAGAGTCAGGCATGGGTGTGTTCAGAGCACTGGCAGGAATTCCAAACACGTTTAAACATCAGAGTATGGTCAGGCCAAATAGAAATATTAGTATTTTATAGTAAAACAGAAATGAACTTTTCATGACTTTGTGACGAGGTGGCTCTCAATCTTAAGATGGAATTAGTCTGGGTTCATCAGACTGTAGATATGTAGTACCTAGAATGGCATAAATTATATCATCTTAAAACTCTTTTCCCTGTTAGGGGGACGCAGCTATCATCTCTTTAATGAGATTTTTCTTCCTGCTCAGGAGGGTGTAAGCTCTCACTTACGTCCCTGTGGGTGATGGAAATGGGGTTCCCCTTGGTGGAATGGGCTGGCTGAGAAATAAAAGCTAAGAAAAATAGAATGATGATAGAGCTACAGGACACAGAAAATAATTTCAAAAACTGGAATGGGACTGGCAAGCTGATCCTATGGATCAAGCTTTTATACTATGGCAAAATGGAGCCTGTGCCTGCTTTATTTAATATTGGGAAACATCAAAGGCCTTCCATAGTATATTCTTCACCAAAAAAAGTTAAAGATGGGGCTGTTCAGTTCCCAACGCGTTACGCCCATCTCTGGAGCTACTATAAGGTATCTTCCTAGCAGAGCAGAGATAAAGGTCACTTGCACTGGGCAATCTATTGCCATGGGAGAGCCATGGATAGTTTGCAATGCCAAACCTAAATCTCTCTGGCTACCAAGAGAAGACCCTGGAGTAGTTCATGGATGGTTTCCGGCAGTAAGCCACCTAAGAAATTAAAGTCTAGAATAATTAGTGAAGAACAAAAGACAAAGTCAGAATTAGTTTTTTTTTTTTTTTTAAGACAGACAGAGAGAGAGAGAGAGAGAGAGAGAGAGAGAGAATTTTTTAATATTTATTTTTTAGTTTTCGGCGGACACAACATCTCCGTTTTGTATGTGGTGCTGAGGATCGAACCCGGGCCGCATGCATGCCAGGAGAGCGCGCTACCGCTTGAGCCATATCCCCAGCCCAGAATTTTTTTTTTTAAATATTTTTTGTTATATATGGACACAATATCTTTTTTTGTTTGTTTATTTTTATGTGGTGCTGAGGATCGAACCCAGTGCCTCACATGTGCGAGGCAAATGCTCTGCCACTGAGCCACAACCCCAGCCCCAGAATTAGGTTTAAAGGATGGAACACCTAATAGATCCAGCTCACACAGGAGCTAGAGCTGGACAATTAGAATTAGGAAAATGGCTCCAGTGGTTTATTTAAGGGGTACATCAAAGGCAGGGATAAGATTTCAGGGGTGGAGTCTTGCTTCATGCAAGTTGATTGGCATCTGGACAGGTCACACCCAACTCAGAGGGGCTTTGTGGCTATAGCAGGTCACCTCATCTCTGGTGCTGTGTGGGACCTTTGGCAGAGCAGAGGGGAAAGTTCACCTGCATCAGGCAATCTATCCCTGTGGGGGTGCCATGGGAAGTTCCTAATACCAGACCTATCCCCTCACTGGCTGCGATGCCTGCCGATGTAGTCCACATACAGCCCATGGGTGACTCTCAACACCCTCTAGCACATTAACTATTTGACATTTTGGTGAAATTATGTGAGATACTTGGTAAATTAGGGACACATAAAATGACCTACTTTGCTATTTCCAGTCAACACATGTCAGTCTCCATCATAACTGAATTAAGGAGATGTTCCTTCAGTTCAATCCCTAGAATCTCAAAATTGCAGTCAGATATGGAAAGTAATGTTATTTAAACCCTCATTCTGTTTTTTTGTTTGTGTGTTTTTGTTTTGTTTTTGTGGTACTAAGGACAGAACCCAGGTCCTGGTGCATGCTAGGTTAGTGCTCTACCAGGGATCTATAGCCCAGTCCATAACCCTTCAAATTATTTTTGACACACACACAAACTTGAAAGAATTGAAGTGGATTGTTTAAGGTTGGGGTGTTGGTCCAGTTTGTAGTATCACAATGAAATACTTGAGGCAGTTTCTTTGTAAAGGAAAGATATTTATTTTGGCTCACAGTTCTGCAGGTGCAAAATCTCAGGCCTTATCTGCTGATGGCTTCCTTGTGAGCTCAAGGTGGTGCAGAGTATCACATGGAAAGAGACAAGGAGCACTTGCATGTGTCTTTCTGCCTCTTCTTATAAAGCCACCATGATCCAATATGAGGGCTCTACCCTAATGGCCTTATCTAATCCCAGTCACCTATCAAAAACCCCACCTCTAAACACTATAGTCGGATTGTTTTCACCCTCTTAAAAACTCTACAATGGACATTAAATTTCAACCCATGAGCCAGGCCTGGTGGTGCATGCCTGGGATCCTAGTGGCCTGGGAGGCTGAGGTAGAAGGATTGCAGGTTCAAAGCCAGCTTCAGCAACTTAGCCACGTGGTAAGCAACCTAATGAGACTCTGTCTCAAAATAAAAAATAAAAAGGGCTGGGGATGTGGATCAGTGGTTAAGTGCCCCTGGGTTCAATCCCTGGTACCAAAAAAAAAAAAAAAAAAATTCAGCCCATGAAACCCTGGAGAACCAATTCAAAACAACAGGAGTCAGAAACCTGGGTCTCAAGGAGCTACCACATGAGACTTTCCAACTGGTGGTCTGGTATCTTGTGGGAGTCAGGCTGTGACTCTGGAGCAGTGAGAAACTAGTTTCTTTTTTTTCTTTTCTCACATCAATAATCTTGACAAAACAAAATTTATGAAAAAGAATTAGTTTTATTGAGTCACATAAGATATATTTTTATCACTTAGATTATTTTCTTTCTTTTTTAAAATATTTTTTTTAGTTGTCAATGGACCTTTATTTTATTTATTTATATTTATTTATTAGAACCCTGTGCCTCACACATGCTAGGCAAGTGCTCTACCACTGAGCCAAAACCCCAGCCCCCTAGATTATTTTCTTTATTGTTGGAAGAAAATCAAATAGAAAATTGTGACAGTTTTCATTTGGATGGGACATTAATATTAGGTCATGTGTGTTAAGTAGCAACATGTCTTAATCTTTGAGGGATGTTATAACAAAATACCTTACACTGGGTAATTTATTTTATTTCCATTTTTTATTGGTGCATTATAGTTGTACATAATGGTAGGATTCGTTGTTACATATTTGTACATGCACAGAATATAACAATATAATATGGCTAATATCATTCCTCAGAATTAGACTGGGTAATTTATAAATAATAGAAATTTATTTATCATAGTTCTAGAGGCTAGGAAGTCCATGCTTAAGGTGCTGGCAGATTCAGTGTTTGGTGAAGGCCTACTCTCTCCTCTGCAGATGGTGTCCCTTGTTGTGTTCTCATGTGGTAGAAGGGAGAAGGCAGCTTCTTTCAATCTTTTTTTTCTTTTTCTTTCTTTCTTTCTTTTTTTTTTTTTTAGATTTGCTAGGTATTTTTAATTATATCACTTTCTCCATGTGATATTACTTCAATTTTATATACACTAGCAAATTAAATGATCTTTCCATTATAATTCCTAAATACAAATGAAACTTAAAATGCATAAAATATACTGCCATAAAATTGAAAAGAAAAGTGTTACATTAGGAATATCCTAAATTAACAAAGAATTTTCCAAAGAACATCGAATGAGGCATTATATGCTTTATAAATCTACAATATTTTTTACTTGCTTTCTTTGTAAATGCTTTATAAATCTACAATATTTTTTACTTGCTTTCTTTGTACAGTTTAAAGCACCATAGCACTGAATGAATAAGAAAGGACCATTTTTTAAATGAAGAAATGGCAATACATGTCACTTAAGGATAAAAGAAAGATAAGCTATTACTTCGATTTGCAAATAATATTCTTTTATTCAAATAGTCCTGTTTCCATTATCCTTAGATGAAAAGATTCTTTCCTGTTATGAAAAAAGAACATCCTTTTATTGATGGAAGGCTTCTAATCTCAATCTGGTTGGATCTTCTGGATGTCTCAAGGCAATTCCATTACGCAGCACCAGCTCAATATAAGGTGGCCAAAAGGAATCACTGATTTTGACATATGGATCATGTGAACCATCAAATAATCTATTTATAAGAATCTCTAATATTTCATGCGTTGTTATCAACTGTTTGGTTGATTCTTGAATGTTTTTCTTTTTCTTTTTAACATTCCCATCAGGCAGAGGAAAATGGTCTTCTAGAAACTCACCCAAAGTAATCAAGAGTTTCTCCTTGAATGCTTTTTTATTAAGCATTTTAGTTTTCAGCTCACTAAAGATTTTTGTTTCAGAAAATGTCACAAACTGATTTTTCAATTCACTGTAAAGTGCATTAAGAGATTCCATTATTTGTTGCAGTTCATCCAACCATTGTTCTCCCTTTTTAGGTCTTCCTTTAACTTTCATTCTTTGACTGAATGGTAGATAGTACCATTTCAAGATCATGTCTTAATTTTTGGAACTCTTCTGTTCCTAATGTTATCAGAACATCCTCTGTCAGGGGAGTTATTCTTCCATGTCTTTCCATATTTCTTCATATTCTTTAATAAGTTATTCTTCAGTATCTGTAACAACTTCCACATCTGTAGTACTATCGGGATCTAGATCTTTTTTTTTTTTTTAAAGAGAGAGGGAGAGAGAGAGAGAGAGAGAATTTTTTAATATTTATTTTTTAGTTATCGGAGGACACAACATCTTTGTTTGTATGTGGTGCTGGGGATCGAACCCAGGCCGCACGCATGCCAGGTGAGCGCGCTACCGCTTGAGCCACATCCCCAGCCCGGGATCTAGATCTTGCTGACTCACTGACATGTGGTTTGTGATTTTTCTTAGCCTTATAAGAAAAAAAGCTGTGGGACCTTTGGCAAGTCACTTAACCTTTCTATGCCTCAGTTTCTTCACAGAGCTGTAACAGGCTTTGGTTCTCAGCTTTGCTTAGCATCAGCTATGGAGCAGAGCCAATCTTTTTTTTTATAAAGGCACCAATCTTATTAATGAGGGCAAGGCCCTCATGACTTAATCATTTCCTAAAAGGCCCCAACTCTTAGTATTATCACATTGACTATGAAGTTCCAGCATATTAATTTTGGGGAGACATTAATATTCACACTGTGTAATACATTAACCAAAGAACCTGTCCAGTTTAGTTGAAGTGGACACTTAGTTGGTGTGTTATGCCAGATTCGTGGGACCCCAATAGACCTCTAGGAGCCGAATCCGATGCAAGCACACAAGAGTCTTTATTGCAAGCTGGAGCCTGGATTCAGGACCATTCCGACGCAGCGGTCCCAGGGAGTGAGTCCTGGTCCTTTGTTCAGTGAGACTATAGGTTTTGGGGGATACTCTATGAGTCACAACATCATACAGCAAATCATTCCATACCTCGGGAAAATCAAACAACAACTCTTAACATTGATTAGCACATTCACTGGCAGGAACAAGTTGGGTAGGGGTGATTGATTAGTACAAAAGGGGGATTCCTTTGAACTGATTGGTTTAGGCCACGTGCTAAACTACATGGTTTCCCAACATTTTATCAACCACCATAAACTATTTGGGGGTCCTCTGGCATTCCAGGTATTTTCCCTCTCTCATGCTGATTGGAGGTTGCTAGGGGGTTGCTGTGGGTCCTCACCTAGCCTAACTGAGTCAGGGACACATGGAGCCTCAGACCTCTCCTGTTATTTACAGACAAACAGCTCAGCCAGGTGGGTATGTGCTTAGGAGTGCTCTGTGGGTTTTTCCAAGGACAAGGGTCACGCCCCCTTCCTTAGGACAGGCCTTGAGGTAGAAGCTGCTGTTATTTATTTATTTTTAAAAACGGAGTCACATTAGTTTCTCAGGTGGACTGTGTCTGGAAGCCTGATAGTGTTCCTATGCCCAAACAGCTCATATTGCTTGTCATGCTTTAGAGGAGTAGTTCTCAAAGTGATTCTTGAATTAGCAGTAGCAGCAACAGCAGTAGTGGCAAGGGGAATCCACTCTAGATTTATATAATCAGGAACTCTGGTGGTTGGGTTGTGGCCAGCAATCTGTGTTTTAACTTGTCTGCTCAAGTTTGAGAACCACTGCCTTAGAGATACTTGGAGCTAATCATAGTAGTGTTGAGTTGAAACTCATGTTAAATATAAATGCTACTATTTTTAGGTCTTAAGAAGAGCTTTTGTGTCTGTGACTCTTCTCTAGGTTAGTTTAGAAACTACCTGATATAAGCCCAAAGTGCCAATCAGAAGTGCCGTAATACTAGGCCTAAATGAAGCAATGAAAAAATAATTGCTAAAGATAGTCAAAGATAATTATCAGTTTACTCTTATTATGCATGAAACACAATAAGAATGTCATTTAAAGAAGATACTAGGGCTGGGGATGTGGCTCAAGCAGTAGCGCGCTCACCTGTCGTGCACGGGGCGCTGGGTTCGATCCTCAGCACCACATAAAAATAAAGATGTTATGTCCACCGAAAACTGAAAAATAAATATTAAAAAAAAAGAAGATACTAGTATCCTTCAGAATATTGAAAATATTTGGACTTGTGGGACACTAGTGAAGCCAGATTTAAAGATAGGTCGTTAGTGTAGTTAGGTAAATTGGGTCTAATATGGAGTAAAATCAAGAATGAAGACCATATTGAGAATATAGAGTCCAGGAAAGTTCAAAGTTCTTTAAAACACAGCTCAAAGGGATGTTAAGAGGTGAGAACAGAAAAGCTGGCGGTCTTTAAGTGGCACTCAAAAGTCCCCAAGGCCAGGAGCCCATCCCAAGGAAATGTTAATGAAGCAGCTCTCAGCAAACAAAGAGTTGCTAATCCAAACGCCCTTCCTGCCCAGGTTACTACCCGCCCATCTGTCCCCCACCTTTTGGGCCTTCCCACATACATTCCACCACTGCAAGATAATAGAACAAAGGACAGGAATGCACTCGACAGGAATGCGGGAAATCTGGAAGTAAACCTTAGGTATAAAAAAGGGAAGACCTCCCCCTTCCATGGATTCCACCTCTTGGTCCCCTTCTTCCTCCAGGGAGAAATCTTTTCTACTGTCCTTTAATAAAGTTTCAACTTTCCACTCTAAACTTGCCTGGCGTGCTTCTCTGGTATTATACTTCAGCATCGGGGAAGTAAGGACTCGAGACCGGTAAACAGAGGTAACACTAGAAGACCCTGACAATATGAGGGGAAAGATGCTGGAAAAGAAGGCACAACTGAAAGAAGACCTGGGGGAAGTTGCATAATTGCTCTAAGTCACTTACTTGTTCTGCTCTGACACTGACCAGAAGTCCTAAAATGATTTTGCTGGAATGAATGGGAGAGTGTTTGGGACATCTATCCAATAAAACTTTGAATTAGATACACATTGAGATTTAGATTTGTGTTCATGTAACAGAAAACACAATATAATAGTGGCCTAGTCACTGATTTATCATTCATATAATAGAAATCTGAAGGTTGGTAGTCCAAAGACTTGTGTGTCAGCTCCACAGTTTTCAGGAACTCTTTTTTTTCAGTGCTGGGATCAAAAGCCAAGGCCTCATCCATACTAAGCAAGCACTCTATCACTAAGCTACACTCCCAGCTTAAAGAACCTTGACTCTTGTCTTTTTGTTTAATGATTCTTAATTATGGCTTTTATTTTCAAGATATTTCCTCATGGTAAATAAGACAGCAGCAACTCCAATCATCACAGAAGAGCAAAAGGGCAAAAAGGTACACACCCTGATTGAATAATTTCCTTTCAGATAGTCTTCCTGGAAATCAAATATAATATAATGCATTCCATTGGCCAGAATTTAGTTACATTAGCCAGTCTTAATTGGAAAGGAATCCTTAGCTGAGGCTGGCTTTGAACTTGCCATTCTCCTGCCTCAGCCTCCTGAGTCGGCTAAGATTATAGGAGTGCACCATCACACTTGGATCAGAAATCTTAAAGATTAGATTGTGAGCATGCTACAGGGACACTGCTACATCGATGTTCATAGCAGCACAGTTCACAATAGCAAGACTGTGGAACCAACCTAGATGCCCTTCAATAGACGAATGGATAAAAAAAATGTGGCATTTATACACAATGGAGTATTACTCTGCATTAAAAAATGACAAAATCATAGAATTTACAGGGAAATGGATGGCATTAGAGCAGATTATGCTAAGTGAAGCTAGCCAATCCCTAAAAAACAAATGCCAAATGTCTTCTTTGATATAAGGAAAGTAACTAAGAACAGAGTAGGGACGAAGAACAGGAGAAGAAGATTAACATTTAACAGGGATGAGAGGTGGGAGGGAAAGGGAGAGAGAAGGTAAATTGCACGGTAATGGAAGGAGACCCTCAGGGTTATACAGTGGAGGGGGTAGAGAGAGAGGAGGGGAGGGGAGGGGAGAGGTGGGGAGGGGGGAGGGTGGATGATGGGAAAGGCAGCGGAGCACAACAGACACTAGTATGGCAATTTGTAAATCAATGGATGTGTAACTGATGTGAATCTGCAATCTGTGTATGGGGTGAAGGTGGGAGTTCATAACCCACTAGAATCAAAGTGTGGAATATGATATGTCAAGAAATTTGTAATGTTTTGAACAACCCACAATAAAAAATTAAAAAAAAAAAAAAAAAAAAAAGACAACTCAAACTTAGAGGGAATGATAACTTAAGTAAACACATCTCTTCAGGTTCTTTCTTTCTCCTCAGGCACTGGCCTTCTCAAGAAATAATAACCTGATTCCAGGACACCATTTGAGCCATAACCAAAATATTATTCATGTCAATATGGCTTCCTTCTCTCCAGTCTAGGGTGCCAGAACACTTAACAATTCTGTTGTTTCTTTCCATGTCATTCTCATCTATGACTCTCTTTCATTTGTCAGAACAGTAAAAAGAAATGACAATGTTTTCTTCTGTTTCTGAGAGTCTCTCTCCAAAAATTACAAGAAAGGGAGAAAATCTCAACAGACTTGTGTTTTAGTCTTATGTTCCAACAGTTTACCAAAGTTCTATAGTTGGGTTTTAGATACAAAAATACAGAGAAAAATAAAATTGGAAATGTATTTCCCACATACCATTATTTGTTACATATATATTTCTTATATGACCTCAAGGATAAAAATGAACCAAGACAGCTTAAAGTGTAATGTGGTAGACATGATACAAATTTGCAAAACAAACTCAGCAAACAAGGCTACTTACTGCCTCAAAATATGCAGACTCAAATCTATAAAACCTTAATCTTTCAATATTAATACATGATCATCTACAATGAATAACAAAGTATGTCTCTAGGTTAGTTAACTAAAAATGTACAAAAAATTTGATGATAAATGAAAAAAAATTAGAGGATGAGCTCAACAATCTTTTTGTAACCAGAAGCAGAAAAACAAAATTTCCCTCCAAATAACCACTATAGTTTAGGGACTGAAAATGAAAAATGGGACATCAGAAAGCCTGGATTCAAAACCTAGCTCTGTGTTATGGTTTGGACATGAGATGTCCCCTAAAAGCTCTTGTTAATGCAGGAATATTAAGAGTTAAATGATTAGATTATGAGAGCTGTGACCCAATTCTAATCCTAGTTTGAATGGA